CGTGTAGTTAACTCTCAGACAAATCGAAAATCTTGCTGATATGTGCTTGATTGTAGTTAAATTTAGGGTTCTACTGCATTGTTGCTTTACTCTTTTTTCGTGGTTGAGTCTGCTTCAAAAAATTTAGTTTGATTTTAGAAAATTTTGCTTTTGCAGTCTTGTCTTGCCACCAACGCGTTCAATAGATGGAGACGGGAGAGGCGAAGGCTATTTTTGTGTTGTTGTTGTTGGTTTAGGGATCGGTTTGTGAAGAAGAGGGAGAAGAGAGGGGGAAAGGGAAATGCAGGAGAGGGGGATAACTCTTTTCTCCGACAAAAATGGAGTGAAGAAAGGAATTATGATCAGTAATAATATGGTTATCTTACATAACGGTCTCTATTCTGTTTGAATTGAGCTTGAGAGGCAGTGATAAGGACGAGCTGCAACCAATTCATATTGAGAAGAGAGCTATGAACTGTGATCATGTCTTATTTCAAGTTAGAAGGTAGTTTCAGTATAAGGATTATTTAATTTGACAAGTTGTTTCGTCCATGATTCTTGGTAGTTTCAATGTCATTCTAGCCAATGTTTAGTCTGTAATTTTTGAGAATTGATGTGCGAGTAATGACTTTCACTTAGCTTCAACTATTATGTGTGTATTTATTGGCATGTGATAGAATTCTCTTTTCCTTTTCATTGAATTCATTTTCATACTCTAATTGTATTATTTGTACATAGGCAAATCATGCTCGAGATGGCAACTCGCTGATATGGCTGGTGCAAGGAATGAAGCCATCATTAGAATTCAGACCGACAACGGTGAGGGATGCCCAGGACTAATTCAATGATGATTGATGATGGTATAATAAAAACTGCAGTCTGCATCAGCACCAATTTCTAGGCCTAAGTAAAGGTATTCAACCCAGAACTCTGCTTAGCGCTAAAAATTGCCCTCACCCAACCTTGATCCTGTTTGACCCACTTCTGAAGAGTCAAGATATATGACTAATCCTCCCCGTTCGTATTTTCTTATTGACTCTTTATGACCCTGTAGGTTGGGGCAGGTCGGGAAGAATTGGATTAGTGGGTCGGTCCTAATCAAGTGGAATCCCAATCCCTTCACTCTCACTTGCTTTCTCTCCCATTCCACAAGTGGGTAACATACAGTAATCCGGCCAACGGGCCGGGTAATAAGCTAGTAGATAGTTATGAGAGCACGGAATTAAAGTGAAAATCCAAACATTCTATCAAAAACAAAAAGTGAAAATCCAAACAAAATTTTAGTATAACAATGTTGGGTTCTAGTTAGTGAAATCTCGTATTATTATTATTATTATTATTATTTTGATAGGGTGAAATCTCCTATTGATTATGTACTATATGATAGTTGTTTATAATCACTTGGATATTTACAATTTCTCATAAATAACAAGAAAAGCTTTGAGAGTTCAAACTTCAAACACTAATCACCCTGTAGGTATTTAGCAGTTACAGATTGAAACGCACTAACTAGAAAAAAGCAGGGTTCAAGAAGGCCGCGCGCACGCCTAGGCTCAATTAGGCGCTAGGCGGTGGAGGATCGCCTTGACTTGGTCATAGGCGTTGTAAAAGGCGCTGGTAGTGCTTAGTAGGTAGGAATAGCGCTTAGTTTGCGCCTAGTGAGAGAAGGTGTGCCTGGGCAAGCTTAGGCGGTTAAACCCAATACTCTTTGTTTTGTCCTAGAAAATCAGAAACTTGCCTCTTGCCCTAGAAAATCAGAAACACGGTAAATAACATTTGCTATCACCTGCCGCCCTAGCTCTCGCCCCATTTGCTGCTCTCTGCCGCCGCAGGAGAAAGTCATTGATCACTCTTTTCGTCTTCACACCGCTCCGCTGCTATAGTGGGAAATAAAGTCGAAACTCGTCAATTGCTGCTCCTTCCTTCTCCTCGGTATGTAGCACAAGCTTCTTGCCTCTATAAGCACATATTAGCATATGATTGGTCACTATTTGCTTGTTATTTGTTATGTTAAGTGTTTACTGTTAAGAACTAGGCATTGCTAATTTTATATGCACTTGGATTATATGAATTATTCGAAAAAACAGGAAATATTTGAGAATTTTTCCATTTATGCTCTGAACGCCTAGGCTACGCCTAATCGGGCAAGGCACAAGTCAGGAGCTGAGCGCCTGCCTTACGCCTAGCGCCTTTTAGAACCTTGGAAAAAAGTAGATGAAGAAAAGGAAAACTCATGTATAAAAAAAAGGGGTGTTAGATGAATAATAAGAGAAAGAAAGGGACAACGAATGGGAGATCCAAGGCTTTTTTTCTGAAATGGTGTGGGGACATAGAAAACGTTGGGTGATCCACAAATAAGGGCATTTCCCTCCATGGATTGGAGGATGGGGGAGCAATTATATTAAGATGATTTCTCAAATGCCTTCATCTATACCGAGTAATCGACTATGCTCATTTTGTTGGTACACTTAACAGTTCAATTTTTGGTGGAAATTTTTAGCTGTTGCTTTTGATTGTGCTTTTAATTCTAGAAATCAGGTGATTGTTACTCGGTTCACACTTTTTTGGATAATGTTCGAACGAGAATATTTGATGTTTGATGAAATCTATACTAAATTACAATACTCTTATGGAAATTCCTTTAGATATCAACGAGCACTATGAAGAATTCTTCATAAAAAGAGAGCTCCAAAACCAAAAGTAACAGAGAAAAGAAAAAAGTGAGATATGTGTGTTTCTGTGTGATTAGTCTTGTCTCTCCTCTCTATCTTCGCTCTAGATTCTTAATGAAAAAGCATCCCAATAGTCATCGCGAAACTGCACCATTTTTGTCTCCCATGTTTCTTTACTCCCTTTTAGGAAGCTGAAGCGCTCAACCTTTCTGCATTTCCCGCTCCCAACCAAATAACCTTTGCGTGAAACACATGCAAATGAATTGTGACCCATTTAGGAGCCTAAGATCAGTAGAGAGGTTCAACCAACAAGGTTGTTGCTTCATGGCTGCAAAGTCATCATGGATATGAGATGCAACGGTTGGTCTTTATAAAACCACTTTGTTGTTTGAGAGTTGAGACCGGGATGTTGCAAGACTTATATTGATGTTGTTGATTAAACAACCTCGTTGGTTTGACTACGCCATTGTTGAACTCGCGGTGTTACTAAGGACACCATGGAATTCATGACGCTCTTGACCGTCGAAATGTTGTTAAACAACACAGTGTTGTTGATGGTGGACCAAAACAACTAAAAATTCAAAACATCTCTACCCTAATCCATTTGTTGTGCTTAGTTGAATTGACTTATTTAAAGCCAATTAAATGTTCAATATACACAATGCATTATTTAAAGCAAAACCATTTTGATGCCCAGACAATTAGAGATGTTAACTTAGACAAGTATATATGTGCATATATAAGCACCCCAAGTTCCAATGATTTGAGGGTATACAATTGAAGGTAGGAACAAAATAGGCGGGGAGTTAAAGAATGCACTCATGACATTTAAGGGTACACTCATAAACTAATAACATGATTAATGTATAGGGTTATGCACATCAATCATGTGCTTTTGAGAATTCATGCCAAACTTCTTCATTTACACTGAGAGTCTGCTATGCAATTTGTGTTGGTACACTTATCAGTTACATTTTTTCAGTTGAAACTTTTACTGTTGCTTTTGATTGTGTTTCTGACTTCTGGAAATCAAGATGATTGTTACTAAATTCATACCAATATTTTGCGAAAGAGTGTGTTTGATGTTTGAAGAAATCTATACTAAAATTACTTATACTCCTATGAATATTCCTTCATATCTAAACAAATACTATAACGACTATACATATGAAGGAGAGCTCTGTAACTAGAAGTAACAGGAAAAAGATAAAAAGTGAGACATATGTGTTTCTGTGTGATTAGTTGTCCCTTATCTCCCAATAGTCATCCTGAAAAGTGCTCCATTCCCCCCCCCCCCCAGCTCCCATGTTTCTCCACTCTCTTTTAGGAAGTTGGAGTCCTTAGTCCTTTCTACATCTCATGCTCCCAAATTATTTCATTTGCGTGAAACTCACACAAATGAATTGTGACAATTCTAGGAGCCTAGGATCGGCACACGAGTTCGAACAGCGATGTTGTTGACTCATGGCTGCAATGTGTTCGTAGATTTGAGCTTCAAAGTTAGTCTTAATAACATCACATCACTGCTTGACACTACGATGTTGCAAGACTCGTAGTGATATTGTTAAGGTTCGTTTACTGGAGGAAGAGGGTGAAGCGGAGGGAGGGTCGACAAAGGCGAGAGATCTCAGTTCGTTTTCTAGGGAAAATGCATAACAGAAGGCTAGGAGGAGGGGAGGTAGAGCATGTTCATTTTTCGGGGGGAAGAGCGGAGGGAGAGCGCTGCTTGCTAGAGGGGAAGGGGGAAAGGCGTCATGAGGCATGAGCTAAAAGGAAGAATATGTGGTTGTTTGGTTTGTGATTGAGTTCCAAATTGAAAAAGGACAATAAAGTAATTTATATATTAATTCTATGACGATTTTATTGATTTTCAGATGGCCTTTAACGATCGCTCTTCTGCTCAATCCTAACTAATTATTTCAAATGATTATTTCCTATTTAGATAGATCTAACCGTTTTCTTGGTATAGCTAAGATTGAGAAAAAATCAAAATCAAAATAAAACTAAAATCAAAATCAAAATCAAAATCTCCATATGATCTTTGAAATTGCCGTTGAATCCATACAGTTTGTAAATACAATCTCCACTATACGTACATCATACCATATTTGGCTTTGTTCCCAGCGGAGTATTTGTATTTCCCCCTTTTTGGTATTACTATTCAAAGCGTTTTTTTAATAAATTATCATTTGACCATATTTTTAAGATTAAAAAACTCTTCCCATATATTATTAATTTTTTCATTCTTAAAATTTCTTCCTATATATAATATTCCAATTTTCCTCTTTCTTTTTCTAAAACAATTTCCGGGGACGTCAGCGTCAACAAGATCAAAACCAGAAGGTAGCAGCAGCAGGGGAGGAAGAAGAAAGGGGAAAAAAGCAGGGGGTTGGGGGGAGAACCAGATCCTCCGTTTAAACGGCCGGTACAACCGCTCTCTCCCTACGCCAACTCCACCTCCACCAAACTCTCTCCCTCTCTCTCTCTTCTTAACTTCGCTTTCACTTCCCTTCTTCGTCTTCTTCATCTGCGATCCTCTGCATCCAGAAAATTTTCCTGCTCACCAAACAGATTTCTCTCTCTATCTCTCTCCCTGCAGAACGCCGCTGTTTGTTCGAGATAAGGAAACGCTAAATTCACGCGGCCCCTTCTCCTCTCTCTCTTCCTCACTGGTGCTATAAATTCAATTTCCCTGATTCTTCGCCGTCAGGGAAGGATCCCGTAATCCGGTAAGCTTCTTCTCCTACTGCTGTTTTTTTTCTCTCTCTCTCTCCCTCTTTCCATCTCTATTTCCCTGTACATTCCGTTTTCCCGTTCCCGATTCTGGCCGCTCGTCGTTTTCCGCCGTATGAAAGCTTCGGCGCGGCGGTTCTGAGGTTTCTCACCTTCTCTCTTTCTCTCTTTCTCTCTTTCGTTTGCTTAATGGTGCTTTGGATTTCGGATTCGTCGGGATTCCCTTTCCTAACTTAACGCTGACTACGAGAAAGCTGAACGCCGTCGTTTTCTGGAGCTGAAGCTTTTCTTTTTTTTTTTTGGTTTTTTTTTTCCTTCGAGTCATTTGGTGCCGGCCGGCGGTGGTTTCGTCGGCGGAGAAGCCGAGTGTGTTATTTTTGTCGGTCGTTCTCGGCTCCCTGGCTGTATTGAATTGAAATTCCCTTAACTGGTCTGTTTCCTCTCTGATTATTTTAGACGGCGATGAGTTTGAGAGATTTTCTCTAGAAGTTATTTGTTGATGGCTGGATTTTCTCTGGTGCCGCAGAAATAGATTTCTCCTTTGACTGAGAAGATTTTAGGATAATTTGCTTCTTCATCAGATTGCGATTTCGCAACTCGGTTTCGAGCTGTTTGGTTAGTGTATTTCGGCCGACTGTGGAGCTCAGTTGAATTGAGTTGGGGCTCGGAAATACCCGCCGAGTCGTGCCATTTTCCCACTTCAATCCAGAATTAGGTATTCGAATTTCCGATCTGGTTAGAGCCGAAACAGAGGGATTTGCTCAAAGGAAAAAACGATCGCCGACAGATTGAGGAGGAAAGCGAGCTCAATACTGTTCAACTTTACCGTTGAAAAGTTGAAATTGCTCCTTACTTTTTCAATGTGCCTTTTACGTCAGTCATCACAGTTCATTGTAGTGCTTCTGATTTGCTTTCTGTGGATTTTGATTTGCGCGTATATCTGTCTTCGATTTTGCAGAGAGTTGCATGCTGAGAGGACTTTTGTGAGAGAAGGGGGGCTCAATCATGGCTTCTTCGCAGCTCGTGGAAATCCAACCCAAGGAACTGAAATTTACGTGTGAGTCTCGGGGATTGGGGAGCTGCCCACGATTTTGCTCTTTTCCTAACTCGTTTCCTGAACTGATTTATTATCATATCTTTTCATCGTGCTATGATTATATCCTGGTGGAACACAATGTGGGTGCACTTTTTTTCTACTTAAATACTTGCTGCAAAGCTTGAGATGGGATAGAATATAACAAGCTGAAAGTGTGGTTGGCCTTTTTTATCACCTGTCATGATTATCCCACTTTCTGAATGATGAGCGATCTTTCTGGTGGATTCCCAACCTTTTATCGAATCTTAATCAAAAGTTCTGATTCAATTTGGAATTTGATGACCCCTCTGCAGTTGAACTGAAGAAGCAAAGCTCATGTGCAGTCCGGCTTTTGAACAACACCTATCACACTGTTGCGTTCAAGGTTCGAAACTCTATTCCTGTTCTACTCTGACTCTCTGAGTTTCAGATTTGGCAGACATGAAATAATCTGAACTCTACTGGCAGGTCAAAACTACTTCGCCTAAGAAGTACTGTGTGCGTCCAAATGTTGGAGTCCTGCTGCCCAAGTCTGTTTGTGAATTCACAGGTTAGTTGTCTCGTAAAACAAGTTAAAAGTCTGGATTATGATGAGCATGGATGTGCAAGCATAACTCTTGTGCTAATCAATGCTTACTCAGTTCTTGGTCCTAAGTTCTTGTTTGAGCTCCAGTTTACCTTAATAAAGTCGTTAATCTTACTTAATAGAGGATGAGACGTTTTCTTCATGAGATTAGATACTTCTTTTTTCTTTTAAGGGGTTCCCTTCCCTTAACATATTCTATTGGCTGTTGACCATTATCATTTGGTTGGGATTTGGATTTGAAAGTATAGTTAGTTCTCAACATGTTCATGAACGATTGATAGAGCCAAGGGCATCATTTGATTTAATGAGGCAGTTATTGTTTGATGGTCACCATACCCTGGCAAGCAATATCATTTCTGCCAACTGTTAAACCCATGACTCTGAGAAGCAAATAATTCGGTCTCTTGGTTGTGTTTTGACCTCCTTCCACATTTCTCCCTGCATGTTTCAGTTACAATGCAAGCTCAGAAGGTTGCCCCACCTGACTTGGTATGCAAAGACAAGTTCTTAATCCAAACCACAGTCGTCCCCATTGGTACATCTGATGAGGACATAACACCTCTCATGGTAAAAGTGATCAATGCTGTATCGCTGATTTTATTTTCTGCCCATACTGTTGTCGCCATAACAAACACTTTATTCTTTTGCTTGATATAATTGCAGTTCTCCAAAGAGAATGGTGCCGATATCGAAGAAACCAAGCTGAAAGTCTTCCTTGTCAGCCAACTCAGCCCGTCTGAATCACCATTGTCTTCACCAGATGACTCCCCCAAACAGATACCCCATTATGTGGCTACAGTGCTTCCCGAGCCAGTCTTTACCAGCATCGACACTTCTACTCAAGTCCACCCTGTTAGTTAAATTCTCTTACAAAGAAATTTCCCTTGCGTGATTTCTTTTACCTAACTTACCGTTTATATCATCTCTTTCTCACCAGTTAACAGAGGACTCGGAGTTCAGAATGCTAGAACACGAGACCAGTTTGAAGCCTAAGAAGCTTGCTGCTGCTCTAGAAGACACTGAAGAGATAAAGCCGGTCAACATAAAAGGCTTAATCCCTGTTATTAAGGAAGAGCTCGATAATGAGGTGCAGTTGGATAAGCCCAAAGTGGAAGAGGTAAAGCGAGAGTATGATAGTAATGCTACTGAGAAATCAAAGCCAGTGATCATTAAGGCTGAAGTTAAAGACGGGTACGAACAACCACCAGCAAATTATGCCGCCCCTGCCCAAAGCCTGCAACAAGAACCAGGAGCAAAGGACGCCAACTCCCTCCGCTCTCCTCCTCCTACGGCAGATGTAAAGTTCGACACAGTGGAGAAAGCTGCAGTCGTGGAGCCACCACAGTTATTAGTCAATCATGTCGACCCCAAGTTAGTCAACGAAATCGAAGCAATGAAGTCGAAATTGGATTCCTTGGAGCTCAAGTTTACCGAGGTAGAACATGAAAAAAAAAATGGTTGGCTTCTGGGCAATTCCTGTATTTCCGTGTATTCTACTAACCGAAAAGAAATTTGCAGGCTCAATCGACGATTTCGAAGCTGATCGAGGAGAGGAAGTCCACGAATCGGGAGAGGAAGACTTTACAAGAAGAGCTCGTGAGTTCTGTGTATAATATTAGCTAGAAAAAGTTTGTTTGCACCTGTAGTAACATTTTTTTTTTGAACATTTGGCAGGCGATGTTGAAAGCTGGGAAGATCGGTGTGCCAGCAGCTGCAGAAGCCGGGGTTCCTTTTCTGCACGTCGTGATCGTCGCTCTAATCAGTATCCTCTTCGGGTATCTTTTACGCGGTTAAAACAATGTCTCCCGGACGGTGAAAATTCAGCAGGGCCCTCTCTTAGTGCTCTTTTAGTAAAGGCTTAAAGTAGTAGAAAGTCCAGCTATTCCCCACCCATTACAGGAAGAAAAAAAAAAAAGTTGTCGCGAGAGGTGAAAACAAAATATCTAGGGAACACAAATTTTCTCTTCTTTGTTATCTTGGCATTTTTTCTTCCGTTTTCTTTTTGGCGGTGTAATGGCATGGTTTAGGATTCTTGATGTAAATTGCAATTTGCAACACAGCACAGATGAACAAAAACTAAAGAACATCTCGCGTTAGGTTAAACATATGATCATGAAAAAATGGCTTGTGCATTGTTCTAGAAGGTACGGTCTCGTGGTGACAAAAAGAGAAATGCCTCATGGTTTTTTGCTAAGGGTGAACAAATTTATTCAAACACAAGTAGAAACCAAGGTTTTGTTTGGTATAGTTTTGTTGTTGTTTTGGTTGTGGTAGAGTTGTGAGAACGAAGGTACAACCGCAATAACATGAAAATAGAAAATAAAAAATATAAACATGTTTAGCTGCAATTCAATTTGTAGAATACATGGAAGTTGGCAACCAGAAACAGAATTGCATTTAGTTACTTCTTTATACCACATTTAGTATCAATATTAAGATTAATATAAAAGTAGAAATTTAATGGGAGGAATAATGTGGTATGACGAGTTATGAGAAAATTGGGGGAGAAAAATATGAAATGGTATTGGCAATAAGGTATTGAGGATGAGTTATGTGAAAAAGCAGAGAGAAAAATATGTAGAAAGTGGGGCGGGTGAGATTTTGGTCACACACTATTGAATGAAATTATTCCAACAAAGTGATAGGATCCTACTAAAACAGGTTTTGCAAATATGAAGGAAGCTACTTAAAAGGGGTTTCACTACTTTCAATTAATTAATGTAGTGTCGACAACTCTTGTTGCCACAATAACAAATAAAAACAAAAAAAAATATTGGGAATGATACTAAACAGACTCTACAAGAAGAGAAAAACAAGGTCGAAAAATAAGCAAATGCCAAAAAAGAAAAACAGAAGAATCAAAAAGTGGGTTAACCTCCAAACAATCAAACATAAAAAAGGAAAGAGCTCAAGCTTTGATGTGTCAACATCGAGCTTTTTACATTTATAAACTTGATCGCCGACAATACTAACTACTCCAATCTAAGACAAGTGCACCCGAGATCAGTGAAGTAGTATAGTGGTGACCGAGGTAGTATTCATAGGGCCCTTTAGAATTATTACTACTCTCGGCCTCGATCTACTATCTAGTCAAACGAGATGGTTGTTGGTTTAAGTGTGAACAAAACTAAAAAGAAAAAAACTAAACTAAAAGCAAGGGAGATCACTAGATAAGAGATAATGTCGACTAGACTTCGAACTACCTTCGATGCTTGCTAAGGGTTAATGTTGTAAGGAATTGGAAATATCCATGGCGAGTGTGATGCGAAGGTATCTAAGGTTGGGATCGGTGCAATGGTCATGCCTCCCAATCCCCCTTCTAGCCACATCCATCAGGCCAATATCACCACGACCAACTTTTGTGACTAGAGATGGGTTCCCGCTCCACTAAACGGGTTCTACCCATCCGCACATAAGTCAGGTAAGTCAATGGTCATGCACTTACTCAACAAGCGCAAATTAGGTGAGCTCCTAGCTAGAAGGGAATGGTCACCTCGTCTGCTAGCTAGGACTCTATATCATCTACTCTAGTATGGAAACCTTCAACACCATTCTCATGTCTAACCCTAGATCTAACACATACAAAATACCATATCAAGCATCCAAACCGTCGATAGAAGCATTAATAACTCTAATTGAACACAACATGTCATAGATTAATACTCCAATCCATGCTAGGGATTGAATTGATTCATCACAAGAATACATAGACTAAGCTCTAACTCAATGGTCATACAATTAGAGCTCCTATCACCTGGGTAGAAAGATCCAAGTTGAATTCTCGCAACCCAACTACCTAGATGATGCATTACGGTATGGATTCCACTAATGGACCATCTCACTCTTCATGAGATAGTTTTACTATGAAGGGTTATGTGCCACCATGAGTTTAGTCAAACCACACAATCGTCATCTATCTAATGGTGGTCAAACCTTTGAGAGTGTGGTATGGTCACCTCGTCAATCTCCAAGACCTAAATACAACCAACTAGAGTTCCAGTTCATGTGATGTGATCACTCGTTAGTGGTGGGTCAAACCCTAGAATTTAGGAGGGAAGCACAATCACATAATTGAAACCCTAATTCATGCATCAATTAACATAGATAGATAGTTGAAAGATAATCAAACACTCCAATCCATACAACAAATTCATAACAAACATCTAAAGAATTCTACATCTAACCAACACTAGGGTTTAGTTCATAGAGAGAAAGATAGAAATTGTACAAAGAGGAAGAAAAACACCAATATTGGTGTAGATCCATCTTCTCCTTCTTACCTTGATCACTTCTCTTGATTCTTGGAAGGATTAGGTTAAGAAATCTCCCAAGAAGTCGCCAAGCTCGTCACTCTCCTCCTGCATCTTCCCAAACTATGTTTCTCTCTCTCTAGGATGCCTACTTTTTCTTTAAAAAAACCCTCTTCATTTATAGACCCACATAGGACAAAGTTCGCGGCCTAGGGCTTCGGAGGATTCACGGTCGTAAACTTTGACAAGAGGTTGTGAAATCTTTATGGCAAGGAGAAGTTCGCAGCCTTGAATAAGAGTTCGGGCTGTGAAGTTTGATAAGAGGTTGTTAACTCTTGGAAAGGGAAAGTTCACAGTCGTGAACTCTTGTCATCAGGTGGTTAGCTTTTTGGGAAGAAGAAGTTCGCAGCCTTGAACAAGAGTTCGCTGTGATCTGTTTCTCACACCGGTGAACTTGTTCTCGTGGTCCAGCTTGTCGTGGTTGTGAAGCTCTCATGAGACCTTATGTACTTGTCATTGGCACCCTCTGGGCATGTGATAGAGTTCACGGTCGTGATCTCTTGCTTCAGCCTGTGAACTTTACTCAAGCCTTTTTTCTACCTTCTCACCCTTCAAACGACCTACGGTTGCCATGAAACTTGGCGTGGTTCTTCCTTATCATACTAGGATATGAAATTAAACTAGAAAACACAACATATCCTATAAAAGGATGCAAATGAAAAAGATTCATGCCAAATGGAGTGACGATAAAAACATGCTAAATCTTAGCGTATTGATGATAGGAAGAAAAAATAGCACGAAATCGATCTCAAATGGATGAAGATGATATGACATGCAATCACCTAAGAAATGGAAGGTTAAATAATGCAAATTTAGGTGTTATCAAGCTTGATGAGTTAAAACATGCAAAAGGATAACCAAACCTACATCAGTCACAACAATCTCTCAATACTTAATGGTGGAGTTTTCTGTTAATTACCATTGTAATTAAACAGATAGGTAATTTTGTACTCTTCCCTTTAAATTTGACAGAGTATATAAAAGGCATTTAGCCACCAAGGATACTTGTGGGTTCCTACACAAATATCCTTCTTCAATAAGTTTCTTATGGTATTAGAGTCTAGTTCAATCACATAGGATTTTCTAACCACCATACTCACATTTTTTGTTCTCCTTCTCCTTACCTCTTATTTGTTTTTCCTTTAACAAAGATGGAAATATGTGATGCTACTAGTTCTCTTGTAACCTAAATACTTCAAACAGTAACAAACCATTAGTATGTAAACCCTAATGAGGCCCCGAACTTTCCAATCAAGATCACAAGAACTGAAAACTATAACCCCTGGAGTCAAACCGTGCATGTTGCGTAGAAAATCCATAACAAGTTGAGATTTATCATTGGGTCGATTCCAGTTCCAGATCCACAACATGAGAGCCATTAGGCTTGGAAATAGATAAATATTGCAATGTATTTCAAAATCCTTGGGCCTCTAGATCCAACCTTGGTGAATATCGTATATTCTCAAGACAATGCATTACTTTTTTGGGAAAATCTGAGATAGCGGCATGGTCAAGCAGATAACATCAGGATCGGTGACCACCAGAAAATAGTTGCACCCTGAAGCAAGGTAACAAGTATGTAAATTAGTTTTACTCAGAATCGAAGAGTTATTGGGAAGATTTTATTCGATACATATTAATACCTAATTGCATATGTGGTGTTGAACTTAGAAATAGGATTGTTACATGCCTTATTGAGGTCACTACGAGGAAGTATCAAGAGAATGAATTTGCAACTCGCTTCAATACTAAGTTGAATGATGTATACGGGGAGTGATGACACGTAAAACATTCATTTTTTGTATCCTCATTCATAGCATGTTTTATATGTTTTTTGCCAAATTAACTTGAATTTTCTTGATAATTGCTCAAATGTGTGTTTAACAGCCTCTAGGGATGCTTCTATACCTTTGATGCTCTTTGGGTAGCATTTTGTACATTTTCAGGTGATAACACCCTAGTTAGGGGTGGGCATTTGGTTGGTTTGGTCAAAACAGACCAAAATCGAACAATCCCGAACAGTAGAAGACCCAAATAGACACTCCTGGTTCGGTTTGGTTTTTTTAACAAAAATCCTAATTCTGGCATGACTGTCATCGCGAGGACGAGTGATGGCAATGTAGTTGGTTGCCAGCACCGGCCATGAGAGAGCTAACGCCATTTGATCATTGATCGGGATTTTCGATGCCATTTCAAACAAAAACTACTCCAAATCCAAACAAACTCAATACTCCCACACAAGAGTTTAGTCTAATTGAAGAGATAATCGACGAGTTCATATACCATCGCCAGAGGTTTGTCGGGTTCTTTATACAACTTTTTGCTTCCCTCACTTTTTTCTGGGTAGGGCTTTGTGATACATAAATAAAGAGAGTCGAGGGGAAGAAAAAATCAATGGTCGCTTGTTGGTGATTGATTGGCAACGACGATAGAGGACTGCCTAGGGATTGTCGTCGATATAAGTAAAGGGAGGAAGAGTTTCAAACAGTCATCTCCTATACTCTTCTGCTCGTGCGTGCCGCATGGGGTTGGGGGGAAGGGGATTAAGGAAGATTGTGAAGGGAAGGGACAAGCTGATTTTGTGGCAAGGGCTGGTTGGGATTTGAAATTTGGTTCATGACTGTTGAATTCCATTCTTATAGTCTGCAAGTTTGGTTCATACTCTGTCGATAGCGGTTCATATCTATAAAATCGAACCTAATAACCACCCTTAACCCTAGTGGACAACACGATTAACATTTGATGTAGTATTTAAGCAAGTAATAAAAATCCTAGATGTGTCTAGGGTCATATTCCTTGAGGTATTCTAATGCATACCTACTCACACCAACCATCAACACATACACGAAATCATGGAGACATTTAGGGGTTTTCATTGAGCAAACAAACAAAGCAGGAACAGTAAAGTTGTTTAGGCGTTTTCTATTTATAGATGCA